AAGACAAGACCCAAAGAGACCCACTTTTCCACCTTGAGACATAGTGAAGAGAGGCCACAGACACCTTGTGTCCACCAAGTTCTCTCCCTCTCATAAATAAGGCCAGGGGCCTGAGGTCATCTTGCAGCAGACCTTCCCCCCATTGGGCTGCAGGAAGTGGAGTTCTCAGTGTCCTCTCCCCAGCTTCATCAGTCTGACCACCAACCACCTAATGTACCAGGGGAGGACTGGAAAGCACTGAGTAGCTTGGACACCCCAGCATCCCCCAGCCTCTGGCAGCCCCTGCATTCCACACATAGGCATCAGTCCCATTTCTGTTCTGCATCAAACTGCCAAGGGTTCAGTTTTGCGTGGAACACCCATGACCTCCAGGTTTCTCTTCTGGGTAGGAGAGAGGCTGGCAACTTTTCTTTGGAGGACCCACCTATCCATCCCCAGGACAGCACAGACTCTCTAGTTAAGGGGGTCTAGGGGAGGCTACAGACTTGGGGAGAAGGAGGGCAAGAAGCAAAGAGATGGCACCTGGCCTGGATGGAGGGGGGAAGTCAGCGGGGCACCAGGGACCAAGTAAATCAGTATCTTTTCTGGTTATTTTTGCTCTTGCAGGCCAGGGGAGTACTTCCTTGCTGTCCTGAGTCTGGGTCCAGGGCATACCTCCCACCCTCTGCAGGGCATGGGCACGCAGTGGGCATGTAGTAAGTGCACACTACAGTGGCGGTTATGTTGACAAGATGACGGCAGCACTCAGTCTGCTAAGTCCAGACTTCTGTCTCTCCCACCCCCTGGGAATTTCATAAATAAATCCCTGGAACTGTTCCAAGAAGAATTTCAAGACTTCTCGATGCGAGCGTGTGTTTTCAGAAACACAACAATTTTACATGATGCCTGGTGTGCAAACTCCTAAGCAACTCTCGGTGAAGGAGGGCTGGGCATGGCAAAAATGAAGGTGGACAGAGTGAGTAGGGCTGGACTGCAACAGGCCAGAAAAACAGCAGTCAAGGGCGGCTGCGGTGGTTTGAGCCTGGCTCTGCAGCTGGCGGCTGCTAACCCGGCTCCCCAGACACCCAGTCTGCCCGGGGCTCAGATTGCCCAGCCTCCCCTCCCCCACCCAGGCCTTTGGCAGGATTCTCCACCGGGTTTTTGCAAAGTGCTAGGGTCTTAAAATAGCATAAACAGACACACAACACACACAGACACACACACACACGCGCGCGCACACACACACACACACACACACACACACACACAATTTCTGTACCACAGAATGAAGATCAAAAAAAAAAAAAAAAAAAACACTCCAAGGCATCTTCCAGAGGCCACTTAGAAAACAAGAGAACTTGGTGTAGGGAAGAGGCTGTAGGGACAGGGTGGAGGAAACAAGATAGAGCCTGTGTAGGGTGCGTGACAAGGTCACAGCACTAATTGTTATGTCTGAAATATGTGTGTGAACATGTGTGTGCATGTGTGTGTAGCTAGGCTAATGAAACCAAAGACTGTGTTGGTGTGACCAGCTTGACAAGGTGAATCTGTATTCCCCTCTTGTACTGTGAACTCCTGGAGAGGAAGAACTGAAAACTTTCATGTCCTCATTTCCAGGTAGTACCTTAGTGCTTGGCGCATAGACATTTAACACATGCTCCTAGAGTCAATAAATGAGGGCTAGATCCATGGATCTCCCAGAACATAAAAGGGTAGTAGTAAGGATGATCAAGTTTCAAGTGGCAAAATTAGAAAAGGACACCCCAGAGATAGAAGATATGCTGGATCAAGTATGAGTTGAATGTTGAGAGGGAAACCGGAGTGCCCGCCTCCATGGTGGGTCCCCATTCTGCCTGGAGAAGAGGAGATGAAATCACAGAGGGGCAAAGGCACCTGGAGAAGCTGGAAGAATGACAGGAGCTGGCGTTGTAGCCAGGCTCACGGACTGCAAGGACAAACATGCTCCAGTGAGTGAAAACGCAAGAGGATTTCCTGGGAAGACAGATGGGAATCTCAGAGAACTCAGTAGTGGAAAATGCAGCCAGATTTCACGGGCTCCGAGAAAACACTGGGCTGGGGACGTGCTGGGGACTATTTGACTGTTCGCTTGAGGCTGGAAGCTGTGTATGCACAAAGACACAGCCACAGGGACCTGGGGTAAACTAACCCCCTCTCATCTCTCTCGGGTGCCTGGCCTCTCTCTCCCATATGCCTGTCACCCCACAAAGGTGACTTCCAGGCATTAGTATCCTGTGGCTACCACCATCAAAGTATGTTTCTGTACCTTTTTCATTTAAATACTTACAAGAAAGAACTTCAGTGACCAGGCCAATCTACCTAGTGGCTTTTGTTTGTTTTTTGGCAGTACTGGGAATTAAACCTAGAATCTTCATTGACCTACAGCCTCAGCTTTTTAAAAATTTAAAAAATTCTGAGACAGGGCCTGGGTTAGTAATTAAATTGCCCAGGCTGGCTATAACTTGTGATCCTCCTGCCTCACGGCCCCCAGAGTGTTGGCCTTATGGGTGTGTGCCACCATACCCAGCTCTAGTTAGTACTTGTCCTTGGTTCAGGTGTCCGGCTCTTGCGCCATCAGCTGTGGGCAGCAAGCAGACCATACTGTCTCCTGGGAGAAGCAAGGGCAGCAGGTGGGAGCGATCACTTGTGTGATCCAGGTAAGAGGAAAACTTCAAGTGTGTGTGTGTGTATTTAAAGGGTGCGAGGAGAGCAAGCAAGACACGAGGACACTGGGGGAGCTGTCAGGGTAGGGGTTTGCTGAGCGACTCTGCTGTGCCTCAGCTCGTCATCTCCGCAGTGAGGTAACACTGCTACCTCCTCACAGGTTTGCTGTGCATGCTAATGAATCACCTGGGCACAGTGCTGAGGACAGTCAGCGCACAGGCTATTTTTATGGGTACAAAGTTCTCCCTTTTTATTTATTTATTTATTTTTTGCAGAGCTGGTAATTGAACTCAGGCCCTTGCGCTTGCCAAGGAAGCGCTTATTCTACTGAGCCATCTCCCCGGCTCTAAAAGTTCTCCTTATGCAGAGATCTTGACTGCCAGTTCAGGCCCTGTCCTGGACCAGACTTCCTTTCTTTTCTTTTCCTTTCTTTGTCCTCCATTTTCCTATCTGTGAAACAACAGAGTCAGAGTAAAGAATTTCAAAACTCCTCTCTAGGTTTCAAACTCCACAATTTTAAGCGTTAGCGAGGCTGCATGCTCTGGGTGAAGGCAGCTGACCTGAATCCAGAGGGCTTTCTTGGAACACAGGCTTGCCATGGTGAGTCGGGGGGGACTGAAGGGAGATGGCCAGTAGGTGGGGAGGGTCCAGCACTGCAGGGCCAGAGATATACGCTACGGGGTGCTGGCCTGGGACACCACTCAGGGCATGGAGGAAAGGGGAGCCAGTCACATGAGCAAAAGCCTTGAGGGCCACAGCAGAAGGAGAATGACCGGGAGAACAAGATGGTTTCACTACTGAGCATGCCCAGATAGATGAATCATCAAGGTTGAGGGCATAGGGCCTATTTACCAAGGAGGCACCGGGGTGGAACGAGGTCAGCATGAGAGTTAGAAGAAAGAGGCCTCGCCCCTAAAGTTGTGCAACAGCCTCTGGAGCAGAAAGGGCGGAGAGCCTGGGGGTTTTCTTCAGGAATACCACAGCTCAGCGCCTTCTCAGAGGCCTGCAGCACACGGACTGCAGGCTGCTGATTGTACCAGGTCCCCGACACTGCCTGAGGACTTTGGGCTGCTCTGGCCGTAACTGCTACTCTGATCAGTCTCTCACCCTTAGCCGTAGGAACAGCTTGGGCAAGTTGTTGTTTGTTTGTTTGGATTGAACCCAGGGCCTTGCTTTACCACTGAGGTACACCCCCAGCAGCTTTTAAAATTTTTAACTTTTATTTTGAAATAGGATCTCACTAAGTTACTCAAGCTGGCCTCAAACCCACAGGCATTTTCCTGCCTCAGCCTCTTGAGTGGCTGGAACTACAGGTGCTCACATCTGGCTTCAAGCTCTAAGTCACTTGCCCTCCCTGTGCGTCCCTTGTCACCCTGGCCCAGTTGTCCCTGCACACCCCCGTGTCCTCACTCCTGCTCCCACTCTAAGCTGATGAGCATTTCTAAAGGAAATCACATGAAAGCGGCTTATTGTGACCTCGACTTCATGTTCTGCACACCTGACACCGTGGCTCTTATATTCTCTCTCTCTCTCTCTCTCTCTCTCTCTCTCTCTCTCTCTCTCTCTCTCTCTCTCTTTCTCTGGCTGATCTTGAACTCATCATGGTTTCCAGCCTGGCCTTAGACTCATAGCAATCCTGCTTCAGCCTACCCAGTGCTGGGATTGTACCTCTGTGCCACTATGCCCAACAAACCCTCACTTTTAAAAGACATTTTCTAAGTTTACAATTCTAAATTGTTATGTTTTTCTCAACCCTACTTGGCAATGTGATTTTTGATTTTTTTTTTTTTTTTTTGCGGAACCAGGGATTGAACTCAGATCCTTGCGTTTGCCAGTCAAGCACTTATCCTACTGAGCCATCTCCCCGGCCCCATGATTTTGGATTTTTGACTGTGTGAATTATATTTCTTGTAATATTGTCTATAAGAATTTCTGGTAGTCCAAGCTGAATGTGGGATCTTCCAAAGGTGATTTGCTCTTCTTTCTTCTAAGTACTACTAGAAAGTATCACTGGCTCACAACCACTTGAATCTATACTGTGTAACTTTTCAAACATCCAAATAGCATTGAATTTGAAATGAAAACAAATCATGGAGACCAGTTTCCAATTATGATCCTCAGAGAAGATTTTCCTCCATTTTTACTGTGATGTAGTTTAAATATGAAGTGTCTCTCAAAGAAGTTTGTATTGAGGGCTCAATCCCCAATGCAGAAATGTCCATAGGTAGGTCCCAGAGAGGTGATTGAGTACTGAGATCCACAATGGCTTGTTAGGAGGTGGCACCTACCTGGGGGAAGTAAGTCACCTTTATTTTTAATCTATTTATTTATTTTTTTCATGTCAGATGGATAATGTGCCCACATTGTAACAAGGTTTGAAGAGGCACATCTCATGCATAAAGCATGAACACCCAATTGTCATGCTCATAAACTGAAAGATCAGTAAGTCACCTTTAAGGGGTGTATCTTCTCTCTCATCTGTGCCCTCTCCCTCTGCTTCCTGGGTGCCATGAGAGAAGCGGCTTTCTTCAGCCATGCCCTTCCACCATGACATGTCTGCCCTTGAGCCAGTCAAAACAATCCTTTTCTTCTTCGTTTTAGTGACATTTTCTTGTTGCTGAAACAAAATACCCAACATCCAGAGTTAAGGGAGGAAAGGTTTCTTTCCCCACAGCTTGTAGAAGCTTCAGTCCATAGTCAGCTGGCTCCAAGGTAGGGTGGCACATGGCAAAGGAGCTCATGGCAGGCAGAAAACACCAAAAACAAGTGAACCAACAAGCAACAACATCAGCTTCTTTCTGCCCTCTTTTTTATCCTATCAAGGCTACCCAGCTTAGGGTGGGTGCCAGACCTATCAGTGGACTAATTTAGTAATCACATCCTTAATCCAAGCATCCTAAATCCTAGCATTGCACCATGAATCAATCCTAGAATCACACACTGTGGATCCAGCCACCTCTGAAGAAGTCCCACCTATGACTGTGTGATGCTTTAGGGGACATCTAGACACAAGCTACCCATCCTTTAAATTATGTCTGTCAGGTATTTTACTCCAGCAATGGAAAGCTGACTAAATACACAGCCACTGCTGCAGCCAGACAATTTTCCCTGTAGTCTTCCAGAGAAATAAATGATTCTTATGCTGAGGGTCTTACCCTTTGAGGGTTACAGCTTTGTGCAGTCTCCCTACACTGGATGGGTCTGGGCTTCATCTCCTGTATCTTGTATCCTGTATCCTGCTAAGCTGCAAAAGGCAAAGTTCAAATTTATCCAGTATACAAATGCTCTGAAGACAAAACCTTGGTGGCCTGCTTTCTTTTCTTCTTGGTTTTTGTTTTGGTGGTGCTGGGGATGAAATCTAGGGCCTCACACATGCTAGGCAAGAACTTTATCACTGAGTAATATCTCTAGCCTGTTCTTAGTTTTTGATTTGTGTATTCTTTACTTTCTTGGTAGTTTGTTGAGCATTTGGAACTCTTTTCAGCAGATTTGTTCCAAGTACCTGGTCTACCATACTGAAGGAAATCCAAAGCTCCTTCCTAAATATAAATCACAGAGAAGTTCTTCTAAAGAATAGCTGGCATCCAGTCTCCCTAAGTCTCTATTCCCATGCATTTGTAGTGTTTCAAGTTAAGCTTCTTCCCCATCTTCCCCGAACTGGCCACGCAAAACATCAGCAATGGGCTTACGTTATTGAACCCTAAAGACTCTTGCCCCTCGTCTTACTCAATCTCTTCTGAACACTGGATGCTAGATGTTCATCTCCTGTATCTTGTATCCTCTTGAAAGCCTTTTCCCCATGGGTTTCATGATTCCACTCTCTTCCCAATTCTGTAACTGTTCCTCCAGTCTCCCCTTATCTGTCATATTGCTGTACTCCTAGAGCTCTTGCACTCCCCTGAGCTATTTGAACAACTATGATATTCTGCTGCCTTCCAAGTCCCATGTCCAGATTTTCCCTATCTTCAAATCTATGCCTCCAGGGTCCTTCCTGACTCAGTAAGCCCAACCTGCAATTCACTTTATCTTCCCAAAGCTGCCCTTTCTATTTTGCTGAAGAAAGCCACCAGGCAGCTGATTACCCAAGTCAGAAAGTCCTAAAATCCCCTTTCTTCACCTCCTACATCCAATCAATCTTCTTGTTTCTATATCTAAAATCTCTTGAAACTTTTGTTTTCTCAAGTTTATTGTTGTTACCTGGGACCAGGTCCTCCTCTCATTTTGCCTGGACTATTGGAATTGCCTATTGTTTGGTTTCCTTGCTGCCAATCTTTCTTTCTTTTCTTTTCTTTTTTTTTTTTTTTTTTTTTTTTTTTTTTTGGTGGTACAGGGGATTGAACTCAGGACCTTGGCAGGCAGGTGCTTATGCCACTGAATTATCTCCCCTGCCCCTACTGCCAATCTTATCTTTGTCTAATTATCCCATGGTCAAAATTTAAATGGACCTTGTTCAGAAAAGTGATCTTGGAAAAATAACAAAAACTACAATCACTTTACTCCCTGGTTAGAGGTCTTTTATGCGTACTGGAGAAAACTATTCCTTAAAGTGCTTAAGTGTCTGCATCACTCCAGCATAACTTTTCAGCCCTACCACCAGCCCCCTTCAACCTCTGCCCTCCTGGTATGCTACTCACACTTCCCCTAAGTGCCAGGCAAAGTAGTCGCTGCTGTCTCCTCTCTCCCCACACTGGTGTATCTGGAGAGCAGTTTGATACCCCCCCCCAAAATCAGCTGTGGCACAGCCTCTTCACAACTTTTCCCAACTCCTCAGGTTTTCCCTGAAGTATTGACTCATCCGTGCTCTCTGCCTGCTTCCACTGACTCTTCAAAGGCCAATCATGGCATATATAGCCTGCTACTGCTCTTCTCTTTCATGCTTGTCTTTATTAGATTGCCAGTTTCATGAAGGCAAGGACCAAGACACTCATGCCTATATGTTGAGCCTTGTACACTATAGATGCTCAATAAGTGCCTGTGGGAGAGCTGAATGACTGTGAGATGGCACCGTCTTGGGATTAATGGCCTGCTACTCATTTAGGCAAACCATGCTGACTCTTCTAAGTGGTGGTGTCTGTGCCTTGTGACCAAGACTGTAACTATAACACTGAGTAGTCTGGTCACAGGAGCCTGGTGGTAGAGGGTAGGCTTTCTCCTGGTACCTCTGAGGAGGTACAGGACAAAGGGACAGAGTGAAGCAAGCAAGATGTTTATAGGCTGTGATGTAGGTCAAGGTCTAAGAGTAAGGAAGCATATAAAAATAAACACTTGAGTAGAACATGGTTATGGAGGCCAAGAAGGAGGGAAGGGTGGGGAAAAGTTGATCCATAGGCACTGAGTGTTAGACAAGTTCTCAGCTTACATGGTAGACAACTATAGAAAATGACAATATGCTGTATATTTCAAAAAAGCTAGAAAAAGGGATTTTCAATGTCTTCACTACAAAGATCAGATATGCTTACTCATCTTTGAGGCTCATATAACATTACTACATATGTGGAAATACCATGTGATGCTCAGCCAAAAAATGTATAATTTTCATATGCCAATGAAAAACAGGCATCTTGCTGAGGCCTCAAGGATAGTGAAGAGAGGTAAAAAGGCATCCCGGCCCAGGCTAAAGAAGCATAGCAAAAGAGTACAGGTATGAATCAAGCAGTCTTTCTCTATATAGCTGATAGAGACGCAGCATGTGGGAAACCCTAACTTTAGGAGATAGCCCAAACTCGCAAAGGGAGTGTGAATAACATAGCTAACCCTCCTCCCCTGCCCCAGCAAGTCTCATTTCTCACCTGCAGTTGGGTCCTAAAGTCCAGTCCCCAGAAAAGCATGGGATGTCATGGCTTCGAAAACAGTGCAGAACCACTCGGGTGTGGCTTTAACAACTAAATATATGCAAGCTTGGACAAGATGCTTACCCTCTGTGGGTCTCAGGCACCTCACCTGTAAATGGGGTACATTCTGACATGGGTCAACCACTTCATAGGATTGTGGCCAAGGACAAATTATAATAATAACCATGTCTTTTTAATTGATTCCTATGTGTCAGAGACTATGCTAAGTGCTTTATATACAATATCTTAATCAATTCTTACTGCATCTCTATAGAGACAGAACTACTAGAAACGCAATTTAAGAGATGAGTAAAGTGAGATTTAGGGAGATAAATATCTCGCCCAAAACCAAGTGCCATCAAGTGAACAGATGGAAGAGGCATTTGTTCTACGGACCCAGCATTCTGGTTCCCTGGTTGTATTTCTCCATGGGTGGCTGACCTTACTGTCTGGGAGAAAAGCAACTGTACGCCCCCTCTGGGACTTGTGGTCTTATAGATACAGCAGCAGCACTTAGCAGACTAAGACAGCTCCCTCACACTTAGCCTCAAAGGGGTACTGCAAAGGGGGAAGCTTCTTCTTTCCAACTGCAAGGGTTGGTGACAGTGCTGCATGGAATACTACTTCCCCCAAATTCACATCCACCTGAAACCTGCAGACTTCCTGCCCCTTGACTGTCCTCTACCTCTGATTGCATCCTACTCAAATGATTGGTGTCCTTATTCGAAAAGGAAAACTGACACAGATATGGTACATACTGCAGCCTGTAATCCCAGCACTCAGGAGGCTGAGATAGGAAGATCACTGAGTTTGAGGCCAGCCTGAACTACACAGGTGACTTCAAGGCCAGCCTTAACTACATAAGACTGTGTCTCAAAACGAAAACAAACAAAAAACCCTGAAACTGCAATCATGTATTGATAAAAATTGAATGGAAAAACAACCCCTCCCCCAAAAAAGAGAGATATATAGATACAGAGGAAACTCAGAAACATGAAGAAGTGCAGATTACAGTGATGCTGCTACAGCTACAGAACACAGAGGATTTGGGAACCACCAGATCCTAGGAGACTCATGGAAGCCTTCTTCTCTAGTCTTTGGCGAGGCATAACCTACCAATAACATGCTTTCAGATTTCTAGCTTTCAGAATAATGAGAGAATAAATTTCCCTAACTTGCAAACATTTTGAGTCACAAACTTCCACAGGTACAGTGTATAAGATTCACAGGTATACTATGCAAGACTCACTTTGCCTGGTTACAAACAACTCTGACTTACATTCTATGGAAACGGAACTCATTCCTAAGTGGGGGACTTACTGTACTTAAATCCAACCAGATCACGTACTTTGGTAAGGTGGCCCCAGGAGGTTAACATAGTACCTCACTGCCCAGTCCACTACAACCTGAAGACTAAAGGTGAATAGAGCATATTTTGGGCGACTGGTTAGATAGGCTTATGTGGTGAAAGAGAACAGAACAGTCCAGCTACACCAACTGACTCGTACGTAGACTGTGCTTGGGCATGACTTCACATGCATGTGTGTGTTGTGTCTAGGAAGAGTGCCTGCTTGTTTTGTTCTGAATATGAAGATGGAAGCTCTCTACT